TCAAAAGTAATTTATGCATATTTTATCGATTAAACAATATTTGTTGTTGCTTTCTAGATCACATGACCCATATTCTTTCCACATATACAATAGGATTAGAATATGTTACCCATCATATGCCTTGAGCCACCATAAATGAGAACCCATATTCTCTTCATAGAGTCAAGACAATTTTCCTACAAAATTAACAAGACAAGCTAGGTACCCAATATTCATTAGGTCCTTTGGGCTTAGTGAAAAATTAGTTACATTTGGGTAACCATTGAAAAACACCTTTAGAGACCAAAAAAACTCCTAAATTTAAAATTTTTCAATAGTGTGGCCTTTCTTGCAAGCATAGTGACAATTTAAATCGTCACCATCACTAGAATCACTATCAATGTGCTTACCTTTTGAGAACCTTGAACAAGAAGTCCTAAGATATTGAGACTTTGTTCCTTCCTCCTTATTCATGACTTTCTCCTTTTTCTTCTTCTTCTCAAGCTTTTTCTCCTGCTTGTCTAAGCAAGTAAATTCTTGCCCATGTTCTTCAAACATACCAAACAATGTAGTGAGATTAAGTGTTGTAAGATCATTGGCTTCCTTGATCGTGGTGACCTTCAGTTGTCAATTCCTAGTAAGACATCTCACAACTTTGTTAGTAGCAATTGCATTAGAAATAGGATTACCTAGCAAGTTTAAACAATTAATAAGATGTGAGAATCACCTTTGTATTTGAGCAATGGTTTCACCATGCTTCATGCGAAAGAGTTTAAACTCTTGATTAAGTGTATTAATTCTTGCTTGTTTGACCTCATCAGTTCCGTCATAGGTAACTTGTAGAGCGTCCCATATAGCCTTAGCAGTTTCACAATGAGAAATGCGATAAAACTCATCAATACCAAGAGCGGATTTGATAATTTTGTTTGCTTTCCAATCATGTCCCTACTTCTTATAATATTCCTCATTCTATAGTGCTTCTGGCTTAGGTGTGACAACACCATCAACAAGATGTGTAACTGGTATTGGAACATTTGAATGGCTTCCCACACACCCTTGTCAAATGATTTGACATGAATTTTCATACAAACTTTCCAATAATTATAGTTTTCTTCCGTGAAGATTAGAGCTCTTTTATAATCCCCTTTAGATTCGTACGCCATTTTCTAATAAGAGTTTCAAAGCACGAAATTAAACAGAACTCATGATTCCATTTTTTAGACGACGGTGACTTATCTAGAGGGAGTGAATAGATCACCAAGCCAAAATACCAATTAAAATTGGAGTTTAAAAAATTGTTTGAAAAGAGTGCAAGCGAAAGGTTTTTATATAGATCGATAAAAGTCGTGTATACGTACCTAGTTATTGGAACTGGGATATGCAATAAGCCTTAAAGAATAAATGAATCAATAAGTTGAGTTTATACACTTGAAATAAGAAACACAATATTATTCGTTTATAGGAAATTACTAACAATCTATTTCTAATGAAATTAAGAAAAAATAATGAACAATGCAATTTGTCAAATATTTCGTATGCGACCGAATTTTCGGATTTTTTTTATTTAGTTTTGTTGATATGAAAAATCATTTATAATCAAAATGATTAAAACAAAAATAGCCATAGAAAAATTCTTACGAGTCGATCGATCAATCAATGATATTCAACAAATTGCTTAATGAAAAGTAAAGCAAGTAAAGATATAAGAGAAAGCGACACAAGGATTTGTTTAGGAAGTTCACCAATCGTCTTCTCTATGGCTACGTCTCGTCCTAATTCTGTTATGGAATTAGGATAATTTCTTACTATGCAAAAAGTTGATTACAAGAGAAGTGTTCCAAGAGAAACCCTACAAACCCTAACTATTGAACACAAGCATTTTCAATTTGATTTGTCGTTCTCTCTCTACTTCCTTAGGTACCAAACTCTGAAGGATTTCACTTGACCGCAATCCTCTTTTGAAAGTATTGAAAAAAACCCTCAAATCTACCAAAGATCTTGGAGTACAAACCCTAAGTTTTTCTGGATAAAACCCCCCATAATTCTCAATCCAATATTCTCGGTTACACAAAAACCTAATTGGACGTTATCAAACCTTGCCTAGATGGCACCCCGACAAAAGATGATTATGTGTGATTTATGAGTGTATATGCATAGGTTAGAGGTTGAAGATGAAGAGCAATGATGGTAAGTGTTTATAGTTTCATCAAGTTATAATGAAGCATGTATGATGTATTTATAGTTGTCGAACCTTGGTGGCAAAGAGAGAAACTTCTGAATTGAAAAAATATGAAAATTTTGACCTAAATATCAGTATGTGTCAGCCTGAAATTCGTATGTGCTGACACATAGAACTGAAGTTACAATATGTGCCAGCCTGAAAGATTGTATCTGCCAGCAAATAGAAAACATAAGCTACAGGCTTTAAAAATACAGTGTATGTGTCAGCATGAAAATTATATGTGTCCGCCTGAAAATGCAAGGCTACAACATGTGCCAACACAAAAGGTTTATGTGCCAGCAGGAAAAGCTTATGTGTGTCGGTCTAAAAAGCGGATGTGTCGGCACATGCAAGTGTGTTTTGTCCATAAAATGATTTTTCATGATTTTGATCAATTTTAAATTTGTTTTGAATGCTTCCTAAGACCTCTAATGCAAGGGTACACCAAACGACACATAGATACTGTCCAATATATATAAAATCTAAGTTTTCCTAGTTTTGACATCATGCAAAATATCTAATGATGAATTTTCACTCACAGAGGTTCCCCTGCTCATGCCTTCCCGCCTCCATCTTCATGTAGTCGCATGAGTTCACCTATTCAGGTACCTAAGGCAGGAGAGACATCACAATCACATGCCATACCTGAGGTATCCCAGTCTCAGGCTACACCGGAGGTAGGAGAGGCATCACAGTTACTGGTGATAAGCTAATGGTGATGCCGAGCAGGTAGGGCAACATAAAGCGTATGCTATGAGATCATACTTGTTGTATTTGGTTGGCACTGCCATTTTTATGGATAAGAGTGCCACTTATATGGATGTCATATACCTGCGGTATTTTGAGCAGATCCATGAGTATAACTAAGGGGTTGTTTGTTTGGTCTACATGTACTCTAAATCATCTGAAGGTTGTATGTGGAAGATGAAGCAGGTGATCGATAGTATTGCACTTTTGACGGTAACATTTCTTGGTCTTCTATTGATTGTGTGTCATTTTGTTAATTATTGCAACACAATTACTAACTAATGATTCTTATTTTCAGGCATGGATCCTACAACACTTCCCACACAACTTCGATTGGTCACATGAGCTAAATTATACTAAGGGTAAGCCGCCTACTTCTGCATTCGCCCCGCTCAGAGGGAACCAGGCGACATAGTCTTTTTGGGTGTATATTGACCGCTTGGTCTTTGAGGATATATACTTCCATACATACGTCGATTACCATGAGACAATTCCATTTGATTATATTGTCTTATACTCTGAATGGTTGGCTTGTGGGTCGCGTCTGACAGCTCCTTATCTGCCTGAGTGCGTCATGCAACAGTTTGGCTACATGCAGTATATTGCTAGAGTTCCTGGTGTGTCTGCTCCTCCCCTTAAAAAATGTAGAGATGTGGATAACATGTTTGATGATTATGTTAATCATCTGATACAATATGAGACACACAGTACCATAGTACCTAATGACCGGAGCTACATAGACGGTTACATCTGGTGGTTCTTCCGGGTGTCACATCCATATATGGTACATGATGCTCTATGAGATCCACCTATGCCAGCTCATTAGGAGATAATAGAGGAGGAGCAGGATGGGTCAGATCATGCTCATGATGTCTTGCCTAGGTGTCGTCATATCATGGAGATCGGACAGACGGATATTGGGGAAGAACTCTTTCCGGATGGCTCTGAGGCGAGGGGTGTTATAGATGTCATGATGGCGAGGGCAGCGTAGGAACACGTGGAGAAGAGGGTGAGGCCGATTCATAGTCCGACATACGAAGTAGATTATTGTATTTGTACATTTGATACATTTTGAATTGTATTTTGTTTATCGACTTCGGTGTAACTCTTGATACTCTTGATACATTTTGTAGTCTTGACTTATATCTATGTATATGTCGTTTTATTCATATCGTTATTATAGTCGAATCTTAGAAAATATTCTAATGTTTTATATTTTATAGTCTTGATATGAGAATCATTCACAAAATAAATTGTGTTACTGTCTGCATAAATTTCAGAAATACACCTCCGAACAATTTATGAATATAAAAAAAAGATGCGTCTAAAGATAAATTTTTAAAAATTAAAAAACTTTTTGAGAATTGCATACAGTGTTTTTTTGTTATATATCTATATTTTTTTTCTTTGAAGTTTCAATACACATTTACATTTACACATTAGCAACAGCCAACAGAAAACAAAAAGTGAAGAATTGAAACTGAAACTCAAACAACCATTTCAGCAGATGAAACTCATATGCAACCTTTACTTCTCACTTTTCTCCGTTTTCTGTCTCCTCATTTTAACCTAACCGTCACTCCCTTCTACATGACTGTCTGAAACTGAATTGTAAGATGGATGTTGGAATCAAGATCTGTAGCTTCTCCTCTCAATTTTTTGAGTAATTGATTCCTTACTTATAGCTAATTGTGCATAAGTTTCTTGATTAAATTTTAAGTGCTTGGATAAATTAGGTCTTCAAAAACATTACCAAACAACTGTACTTTAATCATAAGAGCTTAAATGCTATAAACTATTATATATAAACTAGCATTAGATTTAGAATAACTGTTTAGTACAGTATAGAAAGTTGATTTTTCTTGCATAGGGTTTATCTTGTGTAGATAGAAATTTGTTTTTTTCTACAACTCATTGGACTAAAACTCTCAAATAAGATTTATTCAAGGTATCAGTATGAATATTATTAATGTGATACCAAACTGTAATAATATCTGTTAGTTTTTTATTCAAGTTGCACTATTCTATTCATTTTTATTTGATATATGATGATCTACAAGTCGAATTTGGGGGTAGATACCACTATAGGACTCCTTACAACATGTTTCCCATCATTCCAAGTGAGATATCCAAAAGATACTTCATTCTTTTTTGTCACTTTTTCGCCTTCAATCTTCAACTTGAAGCTTAACTTCATGTTCTTCTCATTGAACACCAACTTATCTGGTATGACGCTGATATTGAACCCTTTAATTGGAGTAATGCTAGCAACATAGGTTGACTTTCCTTCACCAACATTGGTAACTGTTCTGTGAAATTCACGGGTTGTCCTTACAGAAGTATTTCCAGCCTCTACGAAAGTGATAAAAGAAGGGTAGTTAAGATCTAAGGACGGTTTAGAGCAATCGTTGGAAGAGGATCTTGTAATGGCAGTGATGTTTTGTTGCGTGAAGTTAAGTGCACAAAGAAGATTAACGTAATCTTGTACACCAGCATCATAAACAAGACCAGGATCAAGTGCTCTATTAGGATTAACATGACCAGCTCCCAATGCTAAAGGGGTTGCATCTTTGTTATCGTTTCCAATGTCTTTGATGGGTTGCTTAGTATTATCAAGTATGTCTGATGTTGTCATCATGGCTGACCTAATAGCTGCCGGGCTCCAATCTGGATGCGCTCCTTTTAAGAGGGCTGCCACGCCAGCAACATGAGGACATGACATAGATGTTCCGGTTAAAACATTGAAATTGTTGTAGTCTTCAGTTCCAAGGAACACAGGAACTTTTGAGGGCCATGCAGCTAAGATTGATGTACCAGGAGCTGTAATGTCAGGTTTCAACACATATGGACAACTATATGATGGCCCTCTTGAACTATAAGAATCAACCTTAGGTGATGGCTTAGCACCAAAAACTGTTATCATGAAAGACATGTTTTGTATTTTACTAGAGTTAGAGTTCTTCTGTATGTAATCTTTGACAATTTCTCCATCTTTCTTATTAATAAAGATGGCTGGAACTGGATTCTTTAAGAGATGTGATAGATATTGTTGTGGTACGTTTGAAATGAAAACACCTCCAACAGCTCCTGCTAAAAACACGTTAGAAACTTGACTAGAAACAACAGATTCATTCTTGTCTTCACAAACTACAATCTTGTTCTTAAATGGGATTACTTCTTGAAAATTTTCGCACCTATCCTTGAAAACAACTGGGATATTGGTAGCAGAGAAATTTCCTCGATAAGAAGACAAGCCTGTGAGTGAAACTCCATTTCCAAGTGTAAGATTTCCATGGAATTCACGATCCGAAGTACCAGCAGCAACATTTATCACCCAAGGTGCTCCATTGTGAAGAGATTGAAATGAAGGTCCTCCATTACCTGCTGAAGTAGACACAAAAATACCTTTTTCCATAGCTGCAAATGTGGTTATTGCAACCGCGTCGTCGTACAAAGCTATATTGTCATAGCCTATTGACATTGAAAGAACATCGACACCATCTGATAATGCAGCATCAACTGCAGCTATTATATCAGATGAAATTCCAACTGGCTCTTTTTCGCTCCCCCATATAGCCTTGTACATGGCTACTCTAGACATTGAAGCTATTCCTGTTGCTGTTCCGTTTGCGTAACCAAAGAAAGATGCACCATCAACTTTGCTTCCAGCTGCAGTTGTTGAAGTATGGGTTCCATGACCGTCCACCACGTCGCGCGTGGTGTTTGTATTCGGTGAATGAAAGTCGGGATATGTCTCCAAGAACCCTTTGTTGAAGTATCTAGCTCCAATGAGTTTCTTGTTGCAAAACGATGAATGGTCGGAATTATCAAATTGACATAATTTCCCTTTCCATTTTGAGGGAATTTCTGTCATTCCATCATCTTTGAAACTTTCACTTTCAGGCCAAACACCACTGTCAATTAAACCAACAATGATATCTTTGCCATACTCAGAAGCTGGCCATGCCCCTTTGTAAGGATTAAGGCCAAGGAACTGAGGTGTGTGTGTTGTGTCAAGCTTCAATGGTAAATCAGGTATTGAAGAAACATAACCAGGAGAGTTTTTGAGAGACTCATGATCTTGAGGTGATAGATTTGCACTAAAACCATTCATAGCATTACTATATGTATAAATGATTTTAGAAGAGGTTGCATTCAGATTTTTGTTGGTAGTAGTAACTTGAGAAAGAATGGAATGATACCACATATGTTGGTTTGAGAATACTTTTGGCATAGCTGATAAATCCATGTGAATGATGTAATTATCAGACTGAGCCAATGTAATAAAATGAAGGATTGTTGTAATATAGGAGAACAACAAATAGAGACAAATATTGGAAGCCATGATTGAAATGTGTTTTGAATGTGGATGGCTGGCTATGGCTATCAAAACAATGTATATATAGCTTATAAGAGCACAGAAAAGTGCAGTCACTTTGTTCTCTATGATCCAATATAAAACTTTATTTATATTTTATTTTATTTACTTAATTATTCTACCAACTATTACTAACAAAAATAATTTAAAAAATAATATTCATTTTATTATATAAAAGTGGTCTAGTCATTTTTTAAAAAGCATGTATTACTTTTAAAAAAATCCAAAACATAATGAGTTATAAATACTCCTTATTAGTTTTATTTAAAATAGTAAGTGTGTTTGACTGACTATTATTTATATCTAAATTGGAAGAAAATATGTATTTAAATAATTAAAATATTGAGTTGCCTTTTATAATTGTTTCTTAATAATGAAAAGTTAAGATTGTTTTGAATATTAATAATGAAAATTATGATTCTTAAAATATTTTTTTACTAAGAATCATAATTTTTTTAAAGAAATATTAAGAATCACATTTTTTATTTATTAAATATGAAGAATTAGGTGAGTTGTTTGAAAAAGAGAAAGCTATTTTATTTCGTAAGAGGATAATATTACAATTTGATAAAATAAAATTTAACTATTACCAAAAATGAGAGGAGAGTATTTCATTTTTTAGTAAGAATCATACAAGGAAATACTCATTTAATAATCATTAAACTAAAATAAAATTGTTTAAAAAAATATAACTATTGAGATATCAATATTCAACTCACATGTACCAAAGAATTTACCCATTATAAAACTCTAACTATTTAATTTCTCCAGTATGCTATATTGACACAATATTTTTCACCAAATACTTACCCAAATACACTATTTGTCACTATTTATATAGTGAATAGTATTTTTAAGATTAAAAGTATTATTAAAATAGAAATATATTTTAAAAATATACTATATATTATTGATCAATATAAGATTGTCATTAACCAATGTCATTAGATAATTAATCACAAAAATATATAATTTTAACTACTTATTTTACTTATAATTTATTAATTATATTTACTACTTCATCAACCATTTTCCATTAAATTATGAATGGTATTAACCATTCTTACACTCAATTAATCAATTTTATTTTATAATTTAAAACTATTTTTTTATGTCTAAATACTTATTAACCAAATTATGTACTAACAAACTTTATATATATTATTAACCAAATTGATTTATAACATTTTATTTTATTTTATATTAGAACATTCAATAATCAAACTCTTAATTATATTAAAAAACCATTTGAACTCAAGTAAATCAATTTTGTTTTAACACTTAAACCTACTTTTAGATGTCAAAGACACATATTAATCAAATTATAAATTATATTAACCAAATTTTTTACACCATTAATTAAAATTGGATTTTGATAGAGATAAAGAAAGATTTTTAAAAGTCAAATTAAAAGTATTGATATTCACTATATTTGTTAACAATAAAATTTGTTCAAGAACAAGAAAAACTATTTGCTCAATAAAATCAGGGAAGGTAGTGGCATTTTGCACCATATAAATTCGGGTTGAATGAAGATTGGAATGTGAGAATCACTTATATTCATAGAAAAGTTAATTGTTGCGTGGATGTTATGGTGAACATAATTCTTCAACATCACATAGACTTAAGAATTTATCATGTTTACCCAAATGATATAGTTGAATTGCTCGAGGATGATGTTGTGGGTAGTCATGTTTCCCCGAGTGATAATCTTTTAGGAAGCGTTTGATTTACAAAATAAAAAGTATTGGATAAAATAATATTAGATAATAAAAGATAAATTTTTGTATTGTATCGTATTTGATGATTGATACATTGAAGAACTTTCTTTACTATTTTATTTGATATATCAATGTACCAGACAAAATAATATAAAATTTACTGTAAGATTTCTTATTGATATATAAAATAATAATATTTATGAATTAAAATATTAAATAATAAGAAGAAAGAAAGAAATGAAGAAATAAATTTTTTTCTACTCTATTTTATATGAATATGCACAAAGAAAAATAATATAACTTTTATTATAATATTTTTATATTCATAAATAAATATTAATATTTATGAATTAACATATTTAATAATAAAAAGGAGGAGAAAAATGATGATGGAAGAGATTTATTTTACTTTTCTTTGTTTGACATGTTAATGCACTAGACATTACAATAATTAATATATTTTATGACAAAGTTTGTTAGAACAAAATTTGGTTCTGCAATATCATCTCTGAGTTTTGATGATAACAATGAGTATGTTTGTATGAACAATTTCGATACTCTAATATTTGTTATTTTTAGTATTTAACTAACATGTTATGCTTTTGATGGATGACGTGACCAAGACATTAAAAGAGAGTTAATTTTGCTTCTGTGCTACACAAGTTCTGATGAACAGTAGCAAGACACTCCAAAAGACTTTGAAGTGTAGGCTCTGATATGAAGTCTAAAGAAATCAGTCAGAAGATCTGAAGACGGAAGTTTCTACTTAAGTCTGGATGCTGAAGACTAATGTTTCTGAAGACAGAGGATTCTCAAGACCAAGTGTTGAAGATTCTGATAGACGAAGTTCTAAAGACTCCGAAGACTTGAAGTTCTAAAGACCCATGGTTCTAAGAAAAGGGTTCTAAAGACCAAGTGCTAAAGACTCTGAAGACAGAAGTTCTAAAGACTCTAAAGACTAAGTGCTAAAGACTCTGAAGACAGAAGTTCTAAAGACTCTAAAGACTTAGAGTTATGAAGACCCAAGGTTCTAAGAAAAGGTTCTCACGACCAAGTGCTGAAGACTCTGAAGACGCGGTTCTGAAGACTCTGAAGACTTGAAGTTCTAATGACCTTGTTTTATGTTCTCACTTCTAAACTCATGCTCGCATAAGCCTCTGAAGTGCAGAAGGAAAGAAGATAACGTTAATATGGTACAAATATTATATGGTACAATCAACGTTCCATTCCACTATCATGAAAGGACGGGTGTGTTGCACAAACTTGTCCCCCACGTGATTGTTCAAGCTGTCAATGTTTCTGGAAATCCCAAGAGTACCCCTCAACGGATATATTATTTTATTAGCTATATAAAGACTTGAAGACTAAGAGAGAAAGCAGGAAATTTTCACTGAACATCCGCGCACAAGAGATGTTCATAGCTTTCATATTTTTAGTCTATTGTTCTTAAAATAGTTTACATATTCAACTTGTGAAGAAGCAATATTACTGTAAATAAAACTTGTATTCAAACTGTTGTTTGATTTCCTTAAGGAACCGGTTAGGTCTATATCCTTCAGAAGTCTAGGACTAGTGTGTCTTGGAAGTTTGGTTTTCCTTAAGGGACCGGTTAGGTCTGTATCCTTAAGAAGTCTAGGACTTGTGTGGCTTAGAGGTTGCTAGTCACTTGCGGATAGCTTATGTATTGTAATAATCAGTTGGATTATTGGATTAAGTCCTCGATTGAGAGAGGCGAAATCACCTTGACAGGTGGACTAGACTAGCTTGATAGTTTTCAATTGAACTAGTATAAACATACCTTGTTCTTTACTTCCAATTCTTAATTATTATTATTATCAAGAGTGAAGGAAAAATTATTTTATTTAAAGGGGAATATTTTAAAAGAAATTTTTTTTATTTAAAACTCAATTCAACCCCCCCCCCCCTTTCTTATGTTTTTCACACCTTCAATTGGCATCAGAGCTTCGGTTCTAAGGAGATAAAAAGTTTGCATTTTTATAAACACTTAACAATGTTCAGTACCGATCCAGTGTATGTGAAAAACCAATGGCTACATCTACTTCCACCGTTGATAGTAGGGATAATGATAGAGATCATTATAGTTCAAAACCTCATATGTTTGATGGAGTAAAATTTGACTATTGAAAGGATAGAATCGAAAGTTACTTTCTCGCATATGACTTGGGTCTATGGGATTTGGTAGTTGATGGCTACACTCACCCAGTAGATGATAAAGGTCAGAAGATTGCAAGAAGTTCAATGGCAGATGCTCAGAATAAAGTTTAGAAGAATCATTACAAAGCAAGAACTATCATGCTTAGTGTTATTTCTTACAATGAATATAAGAAGATCACTGATAGAGAGACTGCAAAGTATATCTTCGATTCTCTTCAGATGACACATGAAGGCAATGCACAAGTAAAGGAAACAAGGGCTCTGGCCTTAATTCAAAAATATGAAGCCTTCAAGATGGAAGACGACGATTCAATGGAAACGATGTTTTCAATATTTCAGACTCTTGTGACAGAACTTAAGGTTCTTAATAAAGGATACTCTACAGCAGATCATGTTAATAAGATTATCAAAAGTCTTCCTAAAAAATGGAGACCAATGGTAACTGCTTTGAAACTTTCAAAGGATTTGAACAACACCTCTCTTAAGGAGCTGATTAGCTCTTTAAGAAGTCATGAGATTGAGCTTGATCAATATGAACCCCATAAAACAGTTAAGTCTCTGGCTCTAAGGTCTAAGTCTGGAAAGACAAAGGATCATAAAACTAAGGAAGATTCATAATAATATGAAGAAGATTCAGATGATGAAGAAATTTCGTTGATATCCAGAAGAATCTGTCAAATCTGGAAGCATGGACAAAGCAAATTCAGAAGTCAACAAATGACTTATGGAAGAGGTGAATCTACTTCTGGTCAGAAGAATGCTTCTGGAAAAGAAGTTACTTGTTATGAGTGCAACGAGCCTGGACATTACAAAAATGATTTCCCAAAGCTCAAGAAAGACAAGAAGCCTAAGAAGGCTTACATAACTAAGAAGGGTCTCATGGAAATATGGGATGATTCAAAATCAGAAGATGAAGATTCTAATGAAGAGCATGCAAATGTGGCACTCATTTTCAAAATTAGCACAGATGAAGAAACATTAGAATGTGAGCTGACAGAAGATGATGAGTTAGACTCCGAAGATGAAGCTGAGGTAATTGCTTATATTTCTTGTTTTCAGCTTGAATCTTAT